CTGAGTTCATCAAGGAGACCTTGAACAGTGTAGTTTTCCAGGTTTCTTCCTTCTTCCATGGCTGTGGCTTTGGTGTACCACTCAGTTGGGAGTGATCTCAGCAACCTTACATTCTTTTCTTTGGGAGAAAGAATGTGGTTAAGTGAGGCAAGATCATTCAATATTTTTTGGAATCTTTCATCCAACATATCAAATGATTCTCCGGGAAGCATTTTGAAGCTTTTGAACTTCTCAAGCAGGACTTCTATCTTCTGCTTTCTCAGGTCCTCTGATCCCTCACATAGCTTCCCAAGACCTTGCCAAATCTCCATGGCAGTCTTGAGATTCTTAATCTTGGAGAAGGTGATGGGATCAAGTGTCTTGAAGATGGCTGCTTTGGCGACGTTGTCCAGATTGTGCTTTTTGCAATCTCTATCATCCCACTTTTCTTTGGGCTTTGGAATGTACTGGACTACATCTGGAGCAGCTGGATTCCTCTCAGGATTCTCCATTTGGATTTTCAAGGGTCCATCCTCAAGCACCATCCACATGCAATCATGTAGAGCGTAGAGATGTGCTTCCATCATGATCTTCCAATCATCATAACCTAGAAGAGAAAACTTGGGCAAACCGTGATCCATATTGTTCACCATTATGATCGCTTCTCGTTAATCTAAAAGTAGATAGTGAGAAACTAAGCTCTGATACCAATTGGTGGTCCCGAAGTGGTGAGTTACAAAGTCTAGAGGGGGGGTGAATAGACTTTGTTACAAATTTACAAACTTTTTCGTTTCTTTTGAAAACGTGAAAATAAGTGTTAATCTAGAGTTCTTGTGAACTTTAGATTATGTGCGGAAGTTGGTGGGTAGAGTGAGCAGTATTCAATATGGATGGGTTAGTTTTCTCAGTTAATATAATTGCAAGTAAGAATAAAGATAAAAGAGAGAGACACGCAAACTTTAACGAGGTTCGAAGGTGGGGTAATCCTTCTACGTCCTCAAAATCCACTATGTAGTTGGTTGTTGAATAATGAACCAACAATTACACTTGTGTGAATTTCTGCACGGTATATCTTCGCAATCCAATGTTGCTACTGCACTCGTGCTGGCTTTGTTGTTCCTTCGAAAATCACGCTTCTTCAACAACTGCAAGGTCCGAACAATAGGACTTGCAAGACCAACTTGTAAGAAAGTTGACCTACCCCCTTTCAATCAATAAGTTTGATCAAAAGTTGTATCCTTCAACGTGGTATGGTACTTGAGGCAAGGAAACCTTCAAGTATTTACACTATAGCTTTTTGGAAGGAGGAGAAGTTTGCTTCTGTTAGAATAAGTGCCCTTCACTAGAGGGGGGGTGAATAGTGAGGCACGAGAGTGTTTATAAATTTTCGCGAAATAAAAATCGCAGGGATAAAGTAAAGAGCGGAATAAAAAAGAGTAAAGGGAGAACACCAAGATTTACCCTGGTTCACCACAACTTGTGGCTAATCCAGCCTCCCGAGAGACTCTCTCGAGCTACACTACTTCCGTTAAGCTTACGGGTGCTTAACAAACCGTTACAACCTGAGAACTCGATTCCCACGAGCCTCAATACACTTGCTCGGAGATACCGCACTCCAAGACTTCAACCCGAAGGAAAATACCTTTCCTTCGTACAACCAAGGGAAACAAGCTTCCCTAAACGTGTTTACAACACTAAGAACACTCAAGAACAAGACTCTCTTTAAGAGTAGATGTTGAGTAAACTATATACGCCCAAGAACAACTCAAACTTCACAAATTGGCTCTAGAAAGCTATGAAAAATAATGTTGTTTGGATGCAATGATAATATGAATAAAGTGAAGTGAATTGATGTGTAAAGCAGACCCAAACACCCCTTTTTATAGTGCCAAAATAGGCTCCAACGGACCAATACATTAAAGGGGTGATTGGCTTGATTTATGGGATTGAATAAATTTGGGATCTGCGGGATATTGGCTTCCCATCGATGTTTGGAACTTACCCATCGCTGGTAAGCCAATTTTCCTTCAGTTTTGAAGCCAACGGTTACCTACCCATCGATGGGTAGATGCTTCCCATCGCTGGGTGGGAGGTTGACTTTCAAATAAGGAAAGAATCAGCCTTAAATGACTCGCAACGGTCATGCCTAACCATCGATGGTTAAGCCTTCCCATCGCTGGGTTCCCATCGATGGGTAAAGCTTCCCATCGCTGGGTAAGGGCATTCTGCCTTGTGGTAATGTTGCACCAANACGTCGTTAAGGTAAAAACCACGGTTGACCAAGTCAACACCGTACACGGGTGGTTTTCACCAAAAGACAAAACCGAAAGGTGGTTTTCATGATGTTTTGATTGGAGAACCATTTAAATTCATTCAAAAACAATTCCCACACAAAAAGACTCGAAAACCACTTCATTTAAGTAAAAACCACGGCTAGCTAAGTTAATGCCGTTTCACATGGTTTTTATCAAACGACAAAAAACGAAAGGTGGTTTTTGAAGTGTTTTTTTGATGAAAAACTATTTAAATATGCCCAGAAGTAAAAACCAGTCATAAAAATTTGAAAACCATTTGGTTAGTTCGGACCCTAAAAACCAACGCCGAAAACCGAATGCCGAATGCCGGTTTCTGAAACCCGAACGCCGAATGGCTTGGTTTTTGGTTTGGGCGAACACCAAGTGTTTTTAATGTTTTAAACATGTTTGAAAAACATTTGTATGATGTGTGAAATGCAATGAAAAGAATTTTAGCCTAAAGAGCCAAGGTGTAAAGGTTGGGTCGGTCTTGATCACAATTATAACCGACTCAACAACACTAAGACAACGGTCTTCGTTCTTGGTCTTCTTTTGGGTCTTGTTCTCTTGCTTTCTTCTTATATTTATTTCTCGCCTTGTATATTCAATAACTTGTCTCGTTCACGGCGGTTTGGCATTATCAAAACCTGTTAAGGAGTTTAGAAATCTCTCTGTTTCAACAGCTTCTGGATAAGGAGTTTAGAAATCTCTCTTTATCAAGCTTTTTGGGCTAGCTGTGAATTAGGTAGCCTCTTTGTGATTGTTCTTCTTATTGTTGATGAGTTGTTGTATATATTTTCTCCATTCTTCCAAGGATGCTATTTATAGGTGGATTGGATAATCTATCCGTTGAATCAAAATAGACTATCCGTTGCATTTGCTGGCTTCAATTTTGAATGAATATTGTGATTTGAAGATTCCTCATTGGAATGGGTGTTTGGACATACCCAATTGTTAAAGGAGAGATTCCTTTTTCCATAGAATCCGTCTTCTAGCTGTTGTTCAAGTATTCTGGACTGTAGAACTTTACTCTGTTTGTCTTCTAGTGCTTGTTTAGGAATTTTGGATAGGTTTTTCAATTTTTAGAGGTCCAGACTTTGTCTTCGAGTCATTTGTTCTTGAATCAGCATAATTATCTTCAATCTAGCCGTTGAAAATCAAGAGATTGATTTTTCCTTACCAACGGGTAGAATTTCTTCATTCAAGACTTAGATAATTTTCTAAGTCTTTTCTCACTTGTCTGCTTTTTGAGAATTCCGGTCTTCCTTGAGGCATCCGGTTCTTAGCTGACAAATCCGGAAGAGTCATACTCAGTCTTCCGGGTGAGAAAGAAATCCGCGCTAGTCTTCCGACTTAGCCTTCAGCGGGTTGTAACGAGACATCCGGTTCTCATGTAATATTCCAGATAGGAGGATTTTTGTCTGCTTTGAGAAATCCTTACTTGTCTCTGATATTTCCGATCAAGATATCCCATTTCCAAAATTTCTGAATTTGATTAAGTCTTCAGGCATCAAACCGTTTAAAGAAATATCACAACTTTATTGGAAATCTCAAGAACTTGGTTTTGACAATATTTCTAAAAATTACATTGAATATCTGGGGAGACCTAAAGTCCCTATTACATTCTAAATACATCATCATCAAAATCTATGATATTTTTCCCAACCGAAGCCTTTGGCTTCATACGCGTTGTTTGAGACAACGGGAATATCAAGGCACGCTCCTCAGAAAAAATATCTCATATTCAATGAATTTGAATAGGGGAGAAAAAAGTGAGTCCAAAAATTATTTTCTATGTCAAACGATGCACACGAAAAATATTTAAAGTATATTTTTCTCACAAAAAAAATTTGTGTATCCTTAAAAAATATTTTATGAAATTTTGATACACTATTTTGAAAGTGACTCGATATAATATTTTTAGACAGAAAAAAATAATTTTTCAACTGACTCATAAAAATAAAAAATTTTATCCATCAAAATTAATTTGTTTATGCAAAAGTCATTGTCATCCTTACAAGAATTCCTAGACTCAATAAAAATAAAAAGTCATCGGAGTCTTCACTTCACTTCAAAACAAACTGCGTAGGGGAGAGCGTTGATTTTTATCACCGTAAATTTCTTGATACGCCTCTTTGCTTTTCTTGATACGAAAAAATACATTTTCGATCATCGTTGAAATTTAATCATCATGTTTGTCATTCATTGAAACAAAAATATTCTAGAAAAATAATAAAGGGGTTTGAACTCATGTCCAACAACATCGGCATGCAAATATTCAAGCACATTAGAACACTTAGTTCGAGTAACAGGATTCAGGTTAGGAAAACTAACACGAGTTTCTTTTCCAAGCACACAGGATTCACAGAAAGGAACATGCATAAGCTTATCACTACCCAAGTGTCCATTTTTATGCAGTATTTCAAGTCCTTTATTACTCATGTGACCCAACCGTTTATGCCATAGAACAGAATTATCAACCACAGAATTAGCATGCTCACAAACACGTTCAGCTTTGCACACATACAAATTATTTTTCTTTTTAGCTTTGAAAACAACAATTGAACCCTTCATGATTTTCATAACACCTTTCTCCCATTTTCCCTCAAAACCCTCATTTTTAAGAGATGCACAAGAAAGCAAATTATAAGACAAATCAGGCACATGTCTAACATTTTTTAGGTTCACAATAGATCCAGAATCAAATTTAAGACACATATCTCCTATTCCAAAAACAAACATTTCTTTTCATTAGCCATGGACACAATAGCATTATCAATCTCTTGATAGTTTGAAAAAAGGTTTTTAAATGGTGACATATGAAAGGTGCAACCAGAATCAACTAGCCAATCAGATTCACACAGATAATCCGATAGCACAGAGTTCAAATAAGCATAATCTTTGATCATTAACACATCACCAAAGTTGTTTGATTCACTAGCCATATTAGCATGATCTTTTTGCTAAATTTTCTTAGGCTCAGAACGACTATTACTGAGGTGACCATATTCATTGCAATTGTAGCATTTTCTTGTTTTAGATTTGGATCTAGACTTACCCCTTCCCTGGTTGAATTTTCTCACATTTGAGTTATCATTGTTAGCATGTTTATGGTTTGGAAACTTATTCAAAGTTCCACCTCTCACATGCATAACCTCCCCAGAATTTTTATCACTCTTAGAATTTTTCAACTCTAATTCCTTACTCTTGAGACTATTCACAACAACATCAAGAGAAATATTATCCCTACCATATTTAATTGCAGATTTAACATCACTGTAGAAATCGGGAATAGCATTCAAAAGAGCAATAGGGGTGTAGTCATCAATATGTTTATCACCGATTAATTTAATATCAGAAATCAGTTTGGTGAAAACATCAAGATTTTCTTCTATGTCTTTAGACATATCCAATCTAAACTTGAAAAATTTTTCGAGCAAGAAAATCTTAGTAAGCAAAGAAGTTTCAGTATAAAGTTCATTAAGTTTATTCCAAAGATCTTTAGCACATTCCAAAATACCAACTTTTCTGATCACACAGTCAGTTAAGTTTAAATAAATTATGGAACATGCAATTCCATTCATTTCAACTCTTTTTTCTTTAGTGTCTGTTTCTAGATATGAATCACTAATAGTCCTATAAACTTTTTGATGAACAATAACACACTTCAATTTTTGTTTCCAAATACTAAAATCAGTTTTTCCATCAAAAGGAGTCAAAGCATAATAATTCATAGTATTCATATCCACACAGGAGAAAAATAATCAAAAAATCACCACAAAGGAGAAAAAAACTCACAAAAGAGAATAAAAAACTGAAAAAATCAGCAATACAGAGGCACATAGAATTTGGCCTAAATTTTCCAAATTTGGCTCACGTGTGTGAAGCAATCGCACGAACAACCCAAGATTATTATGTTAGAAAAATTGCTTACTCAATCCCGCTGTTCTTTTACACGAGCACAAACTATAGTGGAATTAGGCAATCAGAAATAATGAAGTGGAATTAAACAACCCTAAAAAATGCTACGAAAGCAAAGGGATAAAGAGATGTGTACTTGGGCGAATCTAATGCCTAGATTCGAGTTACCTATTCCACGGAGAATAAAAGAAAAGGAACAGCTTCCTGAATTGTCTTGCTGGAGATTCCGTGCTCGCACTTGCTTGCGTCAGTACCTCAATCGCACAGAGCAGTGAGGTGAGCTTTCCAGCTTCCAGGCAGATGCGTTAATTGGAAAGAGACAGAGCTTTGCCAACCACTTGCTTTCATTTTTTTGTGATGATAAGGGATTGACAGTGACCGAAGGAAAGTAATAACTAGAGAAAAAGCAATCCTCTGCCAAGGAATAGTAAAACCGAAAAAGAGAACAGAACACCCCCAAAAAATACTCCGTAAATAAATACTGAACACAAACCAAGCTCTCATACCACTGTTATGTGTATTTATTATATTTATTCCGATTAGGCTCAGGTCACCCGTAAAAATCGATCTGTAATTGTGCACTACAAGGGTACCAAAAAGGAGCAACACCCCAACCCAACCTCGCCACACTCCACTCACAAAGAAGCGGAAAAGAATTGAGATCAACTCACAAAGGAAGAAAGAAACCCACAAGGAAGTCTCACAAAGAGAGAAAGGAGTTTATTTTCTTTTATTCTCCGTGGAATAGGTAAGTCAAATCTAGGCATTAGATTTGACCAGGTACACAACTCTTTATCCCTTTGCTTTCGTAGCATTTTTTAGGGTTGTTTAATTCCGCTGCATTATTTCTGATTGCCTAATTCCATTATAGGTTGTGCTCGTGCAAAAGAAAAACGGGATTGAGTAAGCAAATTTGCTAACATAATAATTTTGGGTTGTTCGTGCGATTGCTTCACACACGTGAGCCAAATTTGGAAAATTTAGGCCAAATTCTACGTGCCTCTGTGTTGCTGATTTTTTTAGTTTTTTATTCCCTTTTGTGAGTTTTTTCTCCTTTGTGGTGATTTTTTGATTATTTTTCTCCTGTGTGGATATGTCTACTATGGATATTTATTTGGGTTGGCCCAAACATATTAATAACTGTCTTAACCTACGATATGAAGAGTAGTTTTTCTTCATGGGTTAACTTGACTTAGCTGTGCTAAATTGATTAATGAGAAGCTGTGATAATGTGTTCTTGATAAAGTTTCAACTTTTTTGTTATGACTATGTTATACAATACATCTATGTGATGATTAATTTCTTGTGCAATTCCTAAGATAAATTTTTAGTGTATTTGTTTGTTGACCAAGAAGTAATGTGCCCATGGCTGAAGGCAGTAGGAAGGAAAAAAAGCAAAAAGAAGAAAGTTAGAAGCCGTTACAGTACCCAGAAGAGGAAGAAGAAAGTGTATTAAAGACCATGCATTCCAAAATATGGAAAAAGGTGGAGGGCTATTTGTAATGGGCTATTTTTGTATGCTTTTTTGGGCGGCCAGTAACAAACAAGGCCAATCTATGCTTTTTTTGTGAGGGTAAGTTTGTAACTAAAACTTATTAGAATAAGATGCTTTTTTGTATGTTATTATATGTCTTGGTGTTGCAAACACATACCTTCCCCCTATTAGTTTTTTTTCAAGCTATGCCCTTTTTTGGGTTTATTATAAAAATTTATTACTCCAGGTACTAACTATTTGTTTAGACAACGTACACATATTCATTGTATGAAGACAACGTACACATATTCATTGTATGAAAACGCATTGGTAAAAATGAGTATGATTGAAGTTGAAGCAACAGACACAAAATCTTAATGACCTAAATCTTAATGACCTGCTCATCTGATCATAGTGATCTTTTGAGCTTTTGAGAAGTTATCAAAATAGAATATATGGTAAGGGTTTGAGGCAAAATGGCACTTGCTCTCATGTGGGTTAGTTCAAAGTAAGAACAACATGGCTCTTTGAAAGAATTGATTTGGAGAGAATTCTCTTGTATTTTCTGTGTGTATAATTTACAACCAAGGCATGTATATATAGGTTCTCACAAGTCGAGAATCCTCACTAAACAAGGAAAGGAAATCCCTATACAAGTAAACTACCAATACAAGGAAATTACCAAAACTAATGTATACGAAAATATATTCAAATATTCTCTTTCCTTTTACACCCCCCTCAAGTTGGAGCATGTAATGAAGAAATGCCCAACTTGGGAATAAGAAACTCCAGTCGTGACTTCCCAAGCGCCTTCGTATGAATGTCTGCAAGCTGATGCGTAGTAGGGACATGCAACGTGCGAATCTCTCCTCGTAAAAGTTCATCACGAACGAAGTGACAATCAATCTCAATATGCTTCGTGCATTCGTGAAAAAATGGGTTTGCAGCAATGTGAAGAGCTGCAGTGCTGTCACAACGAACAGTCATAGGGTTCTTATGCTCAACTCCTAGACATCGCAATAAATTCTTCAACCACTTCAACTCACACGTAAGAACAGCAAGAGCCCTATACTCAGCCTCAGCAGACGAACGAGCCACCATTGTCTGCTTCTTTGTCTTCCACGAAACAGGTGAGTCCCCAAGTTGCACAAACCAACCTGTCAGCGATCGCCGTGTTAAGGGACATGCTGCCCAGTCCGAATCACACCATCTTGTGAGCTGAAGACTATTATCTGCAGACAGGAAAATACCCTGCCCAGGACATCCCTTCAAATAACGGACCACCCCAAGTGCCGCTGACCAGTGATCCTCCCTTAGTTCCTTCAGAAATTGTGCTAAAGTATGCACTGCATAAGAAAGCTCCGGTCGTGTAACAGATAAATATACCAACCGTCCCACCAAACGGCGATATGGTTCCGGATCTATTAGAAGAGGAGCTTGGGAACGAGACAAATGATGGTTGGGCTCCGTGGGTGCACCTAATGGCCTGTCACCTAACAATCCAGCCTCAGTAATGATATCCAAAGCATACTTCCGTTGGCAAAGAAATATCCCAGACGGCTCCTTGCCACCTCAATGCCTAGAAAGTATTTCAGTGTCCCCAAGTCTTTCATATGAAAACAATCCCCTAGATATACCTTGAAATTGCTCACCATCTCTGAATTATCTCCAGCAATAATCAAATCATCAACATAAATCAAAATATGTATGACTCCTTTCTTTCCAACGAAAGAAAATAAGGAATAATCAGGAACAGACTGGACAAACCCATAGCGTATCAAAGCTCCAGACAACTTGGCAAACCAACACCTTGGAGCTTGTTTCAAACCATACAAAGATTTCTTCAATTTGCACACTACATTAGAACAATTAGAAAAACCTGGTGGCAGTCTCATGTACACTTCATCCTCAAGATCTCCATGAAGGAAAGCATTGAGCACATCCATCTGATGCAACTCCCAACCCTTCCCAGCTGCAACAGCTAGAAGAGTTTGTACTGTAGTTAACTTGACCACAGGAGCAAACGTTTCCTTGTAGTCAAGTCCCTCAACCTGATGATTACCCAGTATAACCAATCTGGCCTTATACCTCTCCACACTGCCACCAGACTTGCGCTTGATTTTGTACACCCACTTGCATCCCAGGGGCTTTTTACGACGTGGAGGAGCAACCATCAACCACATTCCATTAGCTTTCTGTGCATCTATCTCCTCCCGCATAGCCTTCCGCCATTGCTCATCCTGAAATGCCTTTTTAAAATTCGTGGGCTCCACTTCCTCATCAAGTGCCATGAGAAAACACTTGTGTATATGAGAGAACTTTTCATACGTGACGTATGAGGAGAGTGGATATCTGCATCTGTCACCGCTGTGTGGTCCAGTGACATGTGTAACATAGTCCGCAAGTCTCACATTTGGGCGTCTTTCCCTCTGACTACGCCCCAAAGTCTCCACTACTTGCTGGGAAGAGGACAGTCGACCGCCATCCGTGGAACGGTCCATGGGGTCGACCGTCTGTAGCGTCGCTGGTTCATCAGATTTCTGCCTCAGGGATGGTCGACCGCCATCCGTGGAACGATCCACGGGGTCGACCGCCTGTAGCTGCACTGGTGCATCAGTTTTCTACCTCGAGGATGGTCGACCATCCTCCATGACGCGGTCGACCGTTGATTCTTCTCCTGAGGGCCCGTCATTCTGCCCTTCCGATGGTCGACCGTGGTCATCAGTACGGTCCTCTAGGTCGACCGTCTGTAGCTCTTCTGCATCTCCATTTTCTGGCGGTCCACCGTTTCTCCAGGAACGGTCCAGATGATCCTCCGTGGACAGTTCCTCAGCATCTTCAAAGTAACTGGTGGTTGAGTTGCTTCTTAATGCATCCTCTCTGGGTGTTTCACCTGTGGAAAATAAGAAAGGGAAAATATCTTCACAGAACACAACATCACGGGACACATTGATCTTTCCGGTTTCCGGAAGATAGACACGCCATCCCATCTTTCCTTGTGGATAACCCAAAAATATTCCAGGAATACTTCTGGGTGCAAATTTGTCTCCACCCCTCTTCAAATTGTGAACATAACATCTGCAACCAAAGACACGAATGTGAGTCAGCGGCGGTGACCTTCCATAAAGCTTCTCATACGGTGTCACCCCCCTAGCAATGACGAGGGTTTCCGATTGATCAAATAGGCTGCAGTTTGTATACAATCTCCCCAAAATTCGATCGGAAGACTGGCTTGAAACCTCAGAGCACGACCCACATTCAGAATATGCCGATGTTTACGTTCCACTCTACCATTCTGTTGTGGTGTAGACACACAGGATGTCTCGTGAACAATTCCCTTTTCTTGGAAGTATTAATTCAAGCACTCAAATTCTGTACCATTATCGCTACGAATGCATTTTATTTTCTTCTCAAACTGACGTTCAATCATGGCACAAAATTGTTTGAAGACACTTCCTAAAGTACGCTTAGAATCAAGCAAATACACCCATACACCACGAGAAAAATCATCCACAATAGTCAAAAACATCGTAGATCCATCAAAGCTTGGCGTCCGATAGGGACCCCACAAAACACAATGTACCATATCAAATTTATCATGGATTGATTAAAACTAAGAGGAAAGCTGGTACGAGTTTGTTTGGCACGTAAACAGACATCACAATGACTATGACTACTCTTATTCGATCCAACTACAGGAACTAAGGATAAAACATGTGAAGAAGGATGTCCTAGACGCTTGTGCCAAAGATAAAAAAGATTCTCCTTCGTAGCACTGCACGCCATTCTCCTTTCCTCCTTCTTTAAATAATATAGTCCTCCTTCTTGTCTATCCACACCAATCATTGTCCTCAACCTTAGGTCCTGTAAGATACACAAATCATCGGTGAACTTCGCCTCACAATTCATATCCTTTGTCAGCTGTGACACAGAAATCAAATGACAATTCAAACTTGGAACAAACAACACATTCTGCAAAGTCATAGTCATTGTTAAGTCAACCTTTCCAGATTGAACAGATACTTCCCGTTTTCCATCAGGCAAACCGATTTCACATGGGGACACTCCCACCACATCATATAACAATGATGGATCACTTGTCATATGGTTGGATGCACCAGTATCAATTATCCAACGAGGTAATACAGGAATACCTGAAAGTTTTTGAGAGTTATCGGTGGAAGAAAGTGAGAGAGCATGACGAACAGCATTGGAGACGGTCCTTCGCCCTGGACCGCGTGTACCTCACTTTGACCGCCCGTGACGGTCGACCGTCCAGCATAAACGGTCGACCGTCCCGCTCCTCTTCCTGGACCGCGGAAGTTCCCTCTCCAACAGTTGTTCCCTCTTCCTCTTCCAGCCTGGTCTCGAAAAATCCATCCCTCCGGGTATCCAATGAGCTTGTAGCATGCCTCAACATCATTTCCTCCTTTGCCACAATGAGAGCACACAAGTTCCTTGACCTCCATCTTTTTTTTCACAGCAAACAGAGACGCACCTGCCTCTTTGCTTTCTCCTTTGTGCATCCCATTCCGTGATGTTTCATCTTGGACAAGAATGTTGTATATTCTTACCACAGGTGGTATGGTTTCTTGGGCAAGCAAGTTCGACCGCAAGGTTCCATACAAAACATCATTCAAGCCCATCAAAAATTGATGAGAATGTTCCCTCTCACGCATCTGCGCCAGCTTCTCTTGCAAATCGCACGTGCAATTCCTAGATGTGCAAACTGGGAACCGTTCTAAGTCCGCAAGGTCATCCCATAGCTTCTTCATCTTCCCATAATATTCCATTACAGAAAGGTTCTTCTGTTTGCACTCTGCTAAGTCCCGCTTCAACTGCTGAACCCTGGGTCCATTAACAACAGAGAAGCGGGCCTCCAGATCACTCCACAAATCTGAAGCTTTTTCCACGAAAGATATACTGGATCTCAAGGCTGGTTCGATCGTGTTCCGAATCCAAAAGACCAACAAAGAGTGGTTTTTCCACCAATCATCAAAATCATCCGAATCGGGTTCAGGCATCTCGATTGTTCCATCAACAAATCCAAACTTCTTTCGTGCTCGAAGAGCCAAACGCAGAGATTTGGACCACTCATCATAATTATCCCCCTTTAGAACAACATGGGTCAAAATCATACCCGGATTGTCGCTCAGGGACAGATCATATGGGGAGATGCGTCGATGACGCACCCCAACTTCCTCTTCCTCTTGTTCCTCGTTCTTCTTGTTGGAAATAATCTTCATGTTTACTTCCTCGGACATACCGGATGTTAGATCAACAACAGAGCGAAATCGCAGCAGCGATTTAAAGAGAACTGTCGTCGGGACGGTCGATGACCTCGACCGTTCTTCACCAACGGTCGACCGTTCCGGCGTCTAAAGTGTAGCGGCGAGCGTTTGACCAATGGACGCGATGCCGGTCGATCAAACGTAGTGGCCGTGGAAAGTTTTAGGGTTTAGGCTCTGATTTGGAGAGAATTCTCTTGTATTTTCTGTGTGTATAATTTACAACCAAGGCATGTATATATAGGTTCTCACAAGTCGAGAATCCTAACTAAACAAGGAAAAGAAATCCCCATACAAGTAAACTACCAATACAAGGAAATTACCAAAACTAATATATACGAAAATATATTCAAATATTCTCTTTCCTTTTACACTCTTTTGAACTAATATGGGAGATGCACTAGGAGTACCAACTTATGTTTCTTACTCATCTGATTTTGATTTTTAGATTTAGGGTTGGAGCCCTTAAACATATTTAAATTTGTTTTGTTTCTGTTTGTAACTTGCTTATGTGTTTTGTGGTTTCCCCCCTCTTGTACCCGGTTTGCATTTTAATAAAAGTTTCTTTAATACACACACACACAAAGGTAAAAAAATTCTATCTACACATAAAGGTTTACTCTCACCCACTTGCAAACCAGTTAGAATTCTGCAAGTTCAAGTATTTATGTGTTAGAAAATAATGTTTTTGTATTGAATTAAATTACATAAAAACTTCATATACCATTAGTGAAAATCTTACCCCACTACTTTTATGAAAAATGGTATGTTGTCTTAAGGCAATTAGTTTTTCAACAATAATAGTCTAAAATATCTCTTGAGACAATTGTAATTTTAGAAATAGTTGTCTTGCATAGCTCATTATACTACTATTGATAGCGAGTAGACTTAACTTAATTTACACTACCATGACTAAAAATAGTAGTACGTATGATTGCATTGAGACAACTCTCCGCTCTGAAATAGTAGTCTTACATTGAATTGTCAAACTACTGTTACACAGAGTTATTTTAAACAAGTTTAAACTACTGCATCTAAAAATAATAGTCTATAGCATATCCTGAGATAACTTTTTTCATAAACAGAAGTCTAAAATACCATATCAGAATACAATTCAAAAAGAGTAGTCTTAACTTAGTATAGACAACTATGATAACAAAATAGTACTCCCTGCGTCACTGAGTATTTGTCCACTTTTGACTTTTTTCGGTCAAAATTTGTAAACCTTGACTTCAAATTAAATAAAAATGATATTAGATATTGATACAGAAATAATTTTATTAGATTTATTATATCAAATATTTTCAAAATATTATTTTATTTAATTAATATACAATATATATTTTATTTAATTATAGGTCAAAAGTTGAAAACAGTTGACTGAAAAAAGTCAAAACTGGACAAATACTCAGGGACAGATGTAGTATTATGATATGACACAGACTACTATTAATTGATTACTGTTTCTCATAACTTTAAAAATAGTTATCGACATAATGGTCAGACAACTGTTATCCAGTCAACAACAAAAAATAGTAGTTAGATTTTTTTAACTACTTTTTTTAAGAAAACAATAGTATATCAACAGTAGTCTGATCCCGTTTTTGGGGTAGTGGATGAGAAAATCGTTTTAAATTTGTAATGACATACAAAGCATTAAAACTTTATTCATCATCACAATTGGATCTTGTAATGTATTACCTATGTTCCCTCTTTTAATTGATTTTTTATTTTGATAATTTAATTTGTCCTAATTAAAGTTCATATGATAAACAATTTTTTTAAAAAGAACATTAAGTATAATTCATGGTTTATGACGGTTATTGATATTTGTTTTACCTTGCAAAATATCTAATTGGTTTGAGTAAGACTAATTAGCCTTTAAATTGGAAGCAATCACATTTCTTTTTTCCTTTATCCAACCATTCACAAAAATGACTAGCAACATAAGAACTATTCAGTAGTGCAATCTACAAGGTTATAATAGAAGTATTTGTGTAACACCCTAATCCGTTCAGGTCTGCAGCCCCTTTCAGATTAAACTATTAACTTGGTAATCGTAAAAATTTAAAACATTTCAAACACTTTTATTTATCACAATAATGTTTTTCATAATATAAACAGTACGGAGTTTTCAATATTGCGGAAGCTTAACAAATGATAATACAAACATAATTTATTTATGTTCTTTAATTCAAAACCATCACATCCATTCCGACAATCTCGCCTCCGTGTGCCTCCAGGATCACGTCACTTCATTAACCTGCGTGTAGCAAATAAAACATACTACATGCTCAGCGTTGAAGCTGAGTAAGCATATCTAATGCATCGAACATCAATATAAACTGAATCTAAATTCATAATCAAATCATTTGATATCATGCACATAATGTTCAGTTCAGATAATCAATAATTATTAAAAATTATTCATCATTCATTATTCCACATTTATATTCACATTCAATGTTCATTAGTCATTCATAATAATTGCAATATTCAATTCAATATTTATTCATATTCAAAATTCAATATTCAATATTCAATATTCAACATTATCCTTAAACTATTCTTAGTCTAAGGCCAATCACTTTAATATTTGTCAACCCTTACACGAATTTTAGTTTAAATAATTAAACTATATTCCAGTATAAAGTATTCCTAAATAATCCTTAAGCTAGGCCTAGTTTAAGATAAAAGAGTTTTGAAAATCTTAAACTTACCTTCACTTAAGGCCAACCAAAAACCGACAGCGTAGTGTTCACTGTTGGGTGGGTGGTACCCCCAAACGAGTAGGTACTCATGTTTGGTTCTTGGATCCCGTACGCACGTTTTAACCCTAGCCACCAAGGTTCATACCCGCAAGGCCTAACTTAAATAGGTATATCTTAGAGGTCTTCTAGATACCTTTCAAATCAACATTAATATGGGTATATCTTAGAAGTCTTCTAGATACCCTTAACAATACATTTTATTTTCACAATCATCAATATATTCATTATGATTTAATCATTCACAATTATCATTTTTAATCAAAATATTCATCAAGATTCAATCATCATAATAATCAATCAAAAATCATTACCATAATCATCAATCAACATATTATTCAATAATAATTAGCGGCCTAGCTTCGGGTGTTAACACCCTAACTTACCGTCATGCATCACATAACATTTTTATTTGTTAAAAACATCATTTTTATTATGGTAAATCATTTTTCCAATGATCATAATCAATTGGTGGATTTTAGATCATATATTTTCCGAATATTTTCGGAACAGGATCTGGACTTAAGAAAAATCGATTTTTATTTTTAAAAATAATCAATTAATACCTAAAAATCGATTTTTATATTTAAAATAATCCATTAATAGCTAAAAATCGATTTTTATATTTTAAACAATCAATTAATTGCTAAAAATCGATTTGTATATTTTAAATAATCCATTAATTACTAAAAATCGATTTTTATATTTTAAATAATCAATTAATTACTAAAAATTGGTTTTTATATTTTAAATAATCAATTAATTGCTAAAAATCGATTTTTATACTTTAAATAGTAAATTAATACTTAAAATCGATTTTTAGTTATTAAATAATCGATTAATACATTTAAATCGATTTTTATAATTAGAATAATCGATTATGTATATTTTTTTAATATACTGACTTCGAACACCTCATCTGAACAAATTTTTAATCGATTATTAGGAATGAAATAATCGATTTTCGGCCACTGTTCATCATCTTCTTCTTGTGTTCAATTTTTAACATTATCATTTTTAATTACCAAACTTCAATTAAATTATATAGGAATGTTCTCCAATGTTCACAGATCATTTTAGAGTCATTAATTCGTAGTTTTAACAACAATTTCATGGTTTATGATTCTTGGTTCTTCAAACATGTCAAACACGAAACTCAACCAAATGACCATTTATGAACGTAGAAACGATCTATAAGAACATTCTAGTCACTAGATATATCTACGGGCTTACCTCGAAGCTAAATGGAGGTTTTGAAGATTTTCTGACGAAACTTCCGGCGACGATAGCTCTCAACTCTGGCGACTTCACACCAAATTGACAACACCACATCATTCCTCACACTCTCAGGAGCATAATAGGAGAAAGAATTATGGAGATTGGTGGAGAAATGAAGGATTTAACCATGCCTTATATAGGAGAGAATGGAAGGAAGAGGCCATGGGAGTTGCTATTCGTGATGTAATTGATCGGCTAGTGCGCCTGGCTGCGATTCTGAATGATTTTAAACGCAAGTCCCTGATTGGGACCAATTTTGGTTCCAGTCGGGGTACACTTTTTGGTCCAACTTTCTCCGAATTGAATTCCGTTTGCACCGTTGCGATCGGATAGTTAAACTCTATCCAACGATATAATTTTTATATTTATTTGTAACACTTTTTCCGATCATTTTTTTTGGGTGTTTGACTTTGACAGAGTCAAAATTGGCTTAATTGACCTTTCTCATAAAAGGTTCTCTCATTTAATTCATATAAGTTATTCTCATGATTTATTTTAAGAAATCATTTCAATATTTACATTCTAAACAATTTCTTTATTTACTCTTGATTTGGGTCTGTACTCAGGTTTCAATCAAAACCACACAAATAGTCCACATACTGGATTTATCTCTATGAGATTTATCCTAAATACGTTTATTAGATGTCAATACATATTTTATTTCGGCCCAAAGCCCAATAATAATTTATTTTAATCAAAACAAATTTGATTAATTTGAATAATAATTCTAGGGTATATTTTAGGGCGTTACAATTTGTGATCGAAGTGTTATAACTTGGAGTATGTGATCCAAGTGTAACAGAAGTACTTTGTTACGATTTAAAATCCTCCAAATCATTTCTATAGGATAAAATGATTTTCAAAACATGCACGACATCCTATCTATTTATGGGGATTTGGAGGATTTGATCACCTCTCTTTCACCTATTCTTTACTAAATTAGATTAAGTGTATAAAAAATTGACTCAATTTTGAAAAGAATTGAATCCTAAAAACTTCCAATTTTTGAAATTGCCTGAAGTTGAGCCGATTCCAAAATGTTGAAACACCTAATGCTTTTTTTTGTGTGAAATTGGAACACCCAATTCTAAAAAGCTGTGAAATTGAACTATCAAAAATTTGAAATTAAATAAGCTGATAATGATGAATTCCAAATATGTAGAGATACGAAGAGGCATGAAGAAACAATGAAATACCTGGAAAGTGAAGAACAATGACGTATCGAAACACCAAAGTTGAAGGAGAATGAAGATATAAGAGGTGGGCAGTGAAGAAGCTCACATCGTGGGGCGGTGGGGGAGAGAATGGAAAATAACATTCATCATTCATGGGGAATTAGAGAGAGACAGAGAGAGGCAGGGCCATTAGAAAGAGAATGAAACGGATAACAGTAGAGGCATTATAAATTAGATAGAAAAAATTAATGTTAACCCTTATAGCCTCTTATATAATTAGGGAGATCTAGCAGTAGATGTCCACATACTCACCTCAAATTCGATGAAACTAATTCTGACAAATTGAACCTAAGAACAGCGGTAATGGCGAAATGACAACGCGAGGCTTGTTCTTCTTCTTCTCCTCCTCCTCCTCCTCCGCCTACTCTTCCTCTTGTGGTTCCTCTTGCGCTTTTCGCTGCTGCTTCGATCGTGAAAAGAGACGAAAGAGAAACGTGAATGTGGTGTGGCGTACGTGTGGAAACACATGTAGTGAGGGTATATTTACCCATAGTGATTTGTGTTCCGTAATTACTAAATGTACCTCGGTAAAAATATGCTTTTTGAACCAAGTTGCTTCAAATTTAGATCTTTTTGCACCATTTGATTCATCTCGTTGAATCCTACATAATGGTATAGTTTTTATAATTTATTGACAAAGTATTTATAATTGTCTCTATGTCTGTCTCAATAATTAATTAACTATTTCTAATTAATTCTGATATGCTAGATTTTGGGGCATTGCACGTTGAGTTGAGACAAATGACCAAAGTTCGAATTGGTGGACGTGTACATCCATGTTCTTGAACCCCTTGTCTTTCGTGTACGTCTCCGAAAGTGTCTCGGGCAGTGCAATGTCCTGGTCGGAGAAGTAGTTGATGAAACGGTCCAGTTCATCGTTAGTTTTTAACTAAAGCACTGATAGTTGAAAACCGGTGGTTTTGAGGAGGATGATGCCCGTTTTTTGGTATTAGAATTCCCAATTTTGGACTTTTCTTTTGGCATAGTTGCTTATTTTTGAAAGAGCTCTTGGAGATTTGAAGATATATACCTAAAAGAAAAAGAGATATGATATATATGTGAGTGAAAAATATGAAGAGAAGGGTGAAATATACATAGGGAAGGAATAGAAAACTGTTGAAATTTCAATAATATAGCTGTCAGTCCAATAAATGAGGTCTCCAATGAAACTGCTGTCTCGACCTGAAATATCCCAGTCTCATCTCTATAATGTTCTGTTTTGTTAAGGATGACAAAATTTTATCCTGAATCCGTTCTGAACTGTTTTAAAATGGGACAGGACCTGACACATAAATGGTACAAGACCCTGACACCAAAACCCAACCTAATGCTCTGCATAACACCACTTTTATGGTTGCCAGCACAGTAAAATAGCTTAAAACAATCGAAAGAGCACATCTAGAAGTAGAAAATTTAGATCATATTTACAAAATCATTTCCTAAAAACTAATCCCTCCGTCCCCATTTTGATTACCATTTTATTTTCTCTCTCTCCTCGATAACTTTTATTTATTTGTGTATTTTCATTGATTATTTGATAAAACAAAATATTTTTGTCGCCTCTTGTTTTGTAGAGCTTTTGATGTTGTTTTTTAACATGTAATTCTTATTACCAATTTGTATATAAAATGATTTCAAAAATCATGATATTTTACCTCGTAATTCCAATTTTGTAATCAAATAAAGGAAGGAGGGAGTAAAAAATTGAATCTAAACAATTTAGATACTAATTGAATTATTTTGATACCTTCGAGGGCAGAGCTTCAAAAGGGGAGGTGCGAAAAAATCCAAACCGAGATCTAACCAAGAATCATCTGATCTAGACACTTGCTATATTCAAGAAGAATTCTACTCATTAAACCAAAAGAGGCATGCAAACATAAAAAAAGCATGGTCGCAAGGGGGAGAGGGGCAATGGAGCAAGGGGGTGGTAGTTAGGGGTGGGTTTGGTTTTGGCGGTTCGATTTTCACCCAAAACCAAAGACAAAACGGAAGGTAAATTGGCGGTTCGGTTCAGTTCGGTTTTGCATAAAAAATATGTAAACCGCTGGTTATTCGGTTCGGTTTTCTACGGTTTTTATTTCGGGTTTTTTCGGTTTATAAAAGTAGAAATTTATAAGCATTAAAAAATAGTAAAAACACTAACTCGATGAAACAATAACAATATGTAGTGTTAGCTTTGGTTTTTTGTTTGATTTTTACACAAAAAACAAAAAGCAAACGGAAGGTCATTGTTCCTTTCGGTTCAATTTTACATAAAAAATATGTGTTGAGTGCCCAACAAACATTTAGAAGATTCCAAATACTTCCGAAGAAATCGTATGTAAAATCAATTACGAAGAATTTAGGTTTTTTGGTATAATACTTTCATTTTCATTATAACATCAAAGTATTTGTTATGTAAATATGTAAATTACTCGTATCAATTTTTAATGTTAATATAACTCTATTTTAGGATTAGCTATTGGTGTTTATATTCTTAGGTTTTTTCAAAGTTTATAAAAATATGGCTAGAATGTTTAATTAATAGTTAAGAAAATAATTTTAATCGACTAGTAATTTATTTGCGTTTATATTTCTATAATTTTTTTACATATCACATATATTCATATAAATAAAGCGAAGTATCTAAGAAAGTTCGGTTTATTCGGTTCGGTTCGGTTTTTAAAAGTGAAAACCAAAACGGAACCAAACACTAACGGTTCGGTTCGGTTTTTTTACATTCGGTTTCGGTTTTTTCGGTTCGGTTTTTTTTCTAGCTCGTTTCGATCGATTTCGGTTCGGTTTGCGGTTTTCGGTTTTCCCAACCCAACCCTAGTGGTAGTGATGACAGTTAAGGGTCAGCGGTGACAGAGGAAGAGGATTGACGATGGGGGGGGACATGGGTAGCAACGGCTTAGCGAGGTGCAAAGGAGGAGAGAGAAAGGGGAGGTGCGTGCATTTTTGGGATGTAATTGAAATCACTAAAATGAGCGCAAATTATAGCGTACATCCGGCTGTACGGGAAGAACCGTACAACCCGCGGAAATAAGCGGCAGATGCAGGATCGAAGAATTTCGCGAAGGAGGAGAGGAGCGTGACGATCAAAGAAGGCCGGCGAAGGAGAGGCGGCGACAAAGGGAGGTGCAAGATTGGGAGGAGGCAAAAACAATGGAGAATGACAGAATGAGGGAAGGCGATGGTGGCGGCGACTTTACAGTAAGCTGGAAACCCTAGGTGGGGCTGAAGAAGTTGAAGATATGGGATTGGAATGAATCAGATAGACGAAAAACCGACGAAAAGGGTAGCGATGAAGAAGCTTGATGATGGTACCGAACTTTTCAATTGTGAAAGAATTGAACAATATTTTATTTCAGAATGAACATTTTCTTATTTGAGAATGAGTATTGTTTTTTAAGAATGAACACTACGCTATTTATTACTCCCTCCGTCCTAAAACTATCTTCCCACTTCCCTTTTTTCCCCGTCCTAAAACTACCTTCCCACTTTCAAAAAAAGGGTGTAAAGTGACTATTATACCCTTACATCATATACTCCCCAATGCCTCAACCATCCTCCGTCTCTCATCTCTCAATCTACCCTCTCTGTCTCTCTTCCCCCCAAATCCTAGATCTAATTCTCCTCTTCACTCGCTAATAGTTGTGAAAATTGGTCAGCAACGCTATGTCTCCGATGCTTCTCGTTGGCGGCTGTGCAGTGGGCGGTGGATGCTTCTCCGATGCTTAAAGCGGTGCTGTGCAGTTGACGGATCGGTAGCGGGAGAACCAAACCGGCGAGTGGGGAAGTCGTATTTCTTAAAAAAAATTAAAAGGGCTCCAGATCCGTACCCGATTCAGCTAAGCTTTTCAGATCCATGTCATGGCAAGAAGCCGACAAATCTGCAGCTCCAGATCCGTTTCCGGTTCGCCGGACACCGTCCCCGCCGGCGAATCCGCACTCGTAACGAATCCGACGCGCGAGGCGGCAAACAAACGCCGATTCCGTGCAACCTACTTGGGTGAAGTGGGAGACTTTAGGGGCACTTTGGTAAAGTCAATGCATATTTTACACTTCCTTAAAAATGGCATATAGTCAACGTGGGAAGAAAAAATTAGGACGGAGGGAGTATAATTATATTAGACAAATGTGTAAAAATGAGTAATACCTTTGTCAGAATGAGTACTACGTATTTCAAAATGAATGTTTATACTTGTATGAGGATGAGTACGACCTTATTTTAAAATGAGTACTACCGGGATGTACCTATCTCTAGGTACATCCGGATGTACCATATACCAACTCCTAAAATGAGATATGACCATTCATTTAGATTTTTTTAATTTAACTCTTATTTTGGGTATATAAGTTAATGACACCTATTTTGGGAATATGCCTATTGATTTACTTCTATTTGTCGATTTTCTTTTCAATTTAATGATCATCCAAATAAAGATTTAATAAAATTAATTTTTGATAAAGAAGAATTTATGTATGTCCATGTTAAAAATGATACTCCCTCCGTCCTTGAGTATTTGTCTGCTTTTGACTTTTTTCGGTCAAAATTGGTAAAGTTTGGCCTCCAATTAAATAAAAATGATATTAGATATTGATAAAAAAAGAGTTTTCTTAGATTTCTTATATCAAATATTTTCAAAATATTATTTTATTTCATTAAAATACAATATATATTTTATTTAATTATAGGTCAAAGGTTGAAAACAGTTGACCGAAAAAAATCAAAACTGGAAAAATACTCAGGAACGGAGGTAGTATGTTATAAGTTTAGATATATGATGATATTTTATATTTATTATTTGTGTATAAAATTTTTAAATCATTATTGGTAAAAATTAAAAAAAATTAGGAAGAATTGAATAAAGGACAAAAATTGGAAAAAATTAAAAAAGAACCAAAAGAAGTTAGAGAAATTAGAGTTTATTTTTTCAACCAAAGAACAACTAAATTTTGGAGCGTTTTTATACAATAAATGAAATAGATGGCCGATTGTGTTTCTCAGCTGAAAATTTATAGATATACCCTCATATACCCTTTCCCATCTCACATCTGAGAATCTTCGTTCATCAATGGAAGAATCATCCAATGGTAAGGTTTATTTGTGAGGCTTTATTGTGTATTCTTTCGTTTGATTTTTGATGATTTCTTTACTTTATGAAATGCCCAACTTCCTCTCTTTCTCAAATCGCCCATTCCGTGAGTTGGGATTATTTCCTTTGTTTCGTTTCTGGAAATGCTCTTAGGTTTCTTGACACTCCTCTCTAGTTGTGGAAATGCGTTTTGCTTTCCCGAACATCTTAACGAGTCGCACTTTCCAGCCAAAATTGATGAAAAATCAACTTTCTTTGTTGATCTTGACATTGACTTTTCTTGTAGTGATGTTTTGTTTGATTTTTGACATGAAATATTGAGTTTCAAATGTTCACACCTGCTTATAATGTAATTTCCAGTAATATTGTGGTGTTAATTGTTCGCATAGTGCTAGTCATATTGAACTATACATAGTAAAACATAACTGCATAGGATCTAGTTTTCCTGCAACATCCTTAAACACGGATCGTTGGAAATGTATGTGCATAACAGAAATGGATTTTCCATGTTGTGTGATCCTATGTTCTACAATTCCCTAATCAACTTAGTACAAGATAAGTTATTTTGATAGGTAAAGTAGTAGACCCTCTGTCCCGCAATGAAACACACAGTTTTTTTCCATCCATTCCAAAACAAACTTTACACTTCTTTTATTTCTTATTTTATAAAAAAGAGTATGTGGCTCATAACATTTTCGTTCCCCAATCAAATTCTTACCACTCCTTTTACTTTTTCTTAAACTTTGTGAAGTCAAAGAGTGGATTTCATTGCTGGATGAATGAGTATTACTTTCACTCTCATTCTGTCATTGAAAATGCTTGTGTTTGGAGTTTAATGTTTGACCCAGTAGAAGGGTACAACTGATGTTTTATAAAAAATATTTTGAACTTTTCATATTTTCTTCATTAGTTTCACTCTTTATTTGGAACTAATTATAATCAGTTTAACTCCTCTCTCTCTCTCTCTCGTCATCAGTTGTTGAAGCCAAGGATGGAACAATATCAGTTGCCTCTGCATTTGCAGGCCACCAAGAAGGTAACCTAGATCCCCTAGTGTCAGTTGTCATTATTTTTCATTTATGAATGAGTTGTGCAACCATTATTTTATCATTTTACCACCGATGATTAGCTAAAATTGTTAAAAACATCTATTCTGCATCCCAAATAAACGTGTCATGCTCCAAACTTTTATTGTTGTCCCAAAAAGTGATCCTGTTTCATCAAACATATTAATGTTTCATGGAATTTGCTAAAAAGATGACCAAAAACAGTCCCACACAAGTTACACATGATCATGATAAACTTGTTAAACCAACAAAAAACAGCACAACTTACTCAGTTTAACTCCGTTGGAGTATAGGGGCAAGATGTTTTCAGCCTTGTCCCTTACAAACTAGCGAATTTGTTCATGTTAGACCCTTGATATGTCGCTGCATATATTGCCCAAAACGTCATACATAGTAGATGGTAAGAGGCCTCTAGTTGAGTTAATCTATTTACCTTAAGCTAAAACATTGTCCAAAAATACGAATATGAGTGGTAAGGCTAAAAATAAGGCCAAAAATTGATATTTACTTTGTTGACAAGTAGGGCCTGTTACGTTCAACTTATTTTTTTAGCTTATTACTTATTCTTATTAAAATCAAATCAGACCAGATCAAATCTAATTTGACCAGATCAAATGTAATCTAATCAGACCAGATCACTACTAATCATACCAGATCAGTAATAATCAAATTAGACCAGATCTAATAAGATCATACCAGATCAAATCAGATCCAATCAGATCAGATAAGATCTTTTTAGATTAAGAGCCTCTTCTTTTCAACTTATTCTTATTACTTATTACTTATTTTTATTGGAATCAGTTCATATCAGATCATAAACATCTTAAAATATAAGTATATTCAGATAAGACGAGACCAGATCAAATCAAAACTTATTCCAATTAGATCAAAATCGTTCAGATCATGTGAAGAGAACAAGCCCTAAATTAGATAAATCCTAAAAAATGTTGAAAAATATTGCTAATTTGTCTCTATTATTACATATGTAGTAATAATTAGTATACGATAAATTTGTGTTACATTATTTAATGTTACATATAATTTACTAATAATTATTATTATAATGTTATATACAATTAAGTAATAATAATAAATAGAATATTATGTTAATATGATTTCTAAAACAAGTATTACAATATCTACATTTTTAACATGATTAACATGAGATATACAAAACGTATCATTTTGTAACATAGTATTCATATTTTCCAATAATTGGTTATTGCTAATGATTTTCTTTTTCTACATCTTCAGTATCTTACTCATTTTTTTTGTTTTTTATAACACATAAATCTATAATACTCCGTAATAATATTCATAATAATAATAAGAAATAATAATAATAAGTTATTATAATAATTTCAACTTTTATTTTAATCAGATTGGAAAAGATCCATTCAAATCAGACTGAATAGATCTGATGAGGTCTAATCAAATTAGATCATATCCAATTAGATCCGATCGAATCAGATCAGGCTCACGGAACAGAGCCTAAAGGGACAGAAAAGAATTCCTTTAGCTAAAACATTGTCAAAAGATGATTCTTTTAGCTCCATTGGAAAGGAACATAAAACCAATAATATTTTCAAAATGTACAAGTATGATTCATGGTTTAGATAGTTGCGTCTTACAAAAAATTAAATATTTGTACATTGGTCAAACATTACTTTGTTTGGCGTGTGTTTTGGTCTAAAATGGAAAATAGATATAACAAGCTGGGAGGTGAGTATACTTTTTCTGTATTAGCTGTTTAATTTACCCTTGGATGGAGATCAACAATTTTTTCTTTGCCAGCTGTACAGAATAGAGATCATAAATTTTTAACAAGAGCAGTTGAAGAAGCTTATAAAGGTGTAGAATGTGGGCATGGAGGTCCATTTGGTGCTGTTGTTGTTTGCAATGACGAAGTTCTTGTTAGTTGCCATAATATGGTGTTGAACAATACTGACCCTACTGCTCATGCAGAGGTGACAGCTATAAGAGAGGTTTGTTTTCCTTTTCTTTGTAATGTTTTCAGTCTGCATTTTGTTTTGAAATGCACCCCCATCCCAATGTATATGTCCACCTTTTGTTTTTGGGCAGCTCCATTGTATTCGTCCACTTTCGTATTAAAGTAATACTCCACTTTACTTTAGATCACTATTTGACTCTTTTGCCCCCCTGGTCCTTTCTACTTTCAATTTTATTCCTCCTTTCTTTATCACCCCAACATTAAGTTAAGTAACAATACAGTGCTCTATTTTTCCTCTTTACTCTCCCTCCTTTGTTCATGTGCAAAAAGCAATGTGGACGAAAACAATGGGACAGAGGGAGTATGTAAGCCACTATATCTAACCCATTGTTCTGCAGCATCGAGTTTCATATTAGCACATTTGTTCTGTAGCCCTGCTTTTCTACATTTTGTATCTATTTAAGCATGGTCTTGTAAACTCCTTTAGTGATTAGTAATAGTGCATTGCAAATCCAAACTAGGCAGAACATACACAGTGTATCCCACTCAGAGGTCAGGTCCGGTTGTGTTACAAATCTATTCCTTTTTTCTACAACCTATCATAGCCACTCTGTTGTAGGCTTAATGTTTTACCTTTTCTGGTTCTGAAGAAAACTCCATTTTTCACGGAATCACAGTGAACTAATCTTATGATTCTTATCTACTATTCTGTTCTGACTGATCTTCGATTGCCTTTCCAAAGATCTAAAACAACCATGGTTGAGACCTCGACACATCGCTGCAGATCCACATGAAGAGACCTTGTGACCTCCAAAGTTTCAATGCCGCATCTGGTGGGACTTTGACATTTTTTCCTCAATCTGCTCTTATCCAGTTATTAATTCTGAAAATCCAGCACCACTGTCCTGATCAAAGCCTCCTGACAAATTACTGATACAAAGCCTACCTCTGGTAGAGCCACCATGTGCTACCATAAGTATCAAATTAACTATTGAAATTTCAAGCTAGTTGATTGATTCGCTTGATCTCAAAGCATCAACGACACGCTTGCACACACCGTCCATACAGTTGTCCCCTCACCGCTTAACGAGCTTATAAACATTTTAAAACGCATGTTTATTTCCTACTTTAGATCCCAAAACTCATTGAGTCTTTACCTTGAATTTATTACCTACACTATATTCTAATTCTTATCCCATTGTATAAGTAGAGTAACCATAGTCCAAGTTTAATTAAAACAAACCAAGTTCCAATTGTATGCTACTCTGTATATATTAATTCAATTCAAGAAGCCATGAGTGTGGGTTTGATGGTTACTACAAAACGGTACTCATCCATTGTGTCTGATTTTGAATTATTAGGTTCAAAACAATATTTATATGATCATTCTCATTTGCATTTGACATATTCATTAAAATTATAAAATATCTGAGCATTTAGGTAATGGCTCTAAAAGATGTTTTGAAATGTTTTAAGCCATAAGAGTTTTTTGTTAATATCATTTATATGAGGCATGGTGTAAGCTTTGTGGCGGTTTGACAAATAAGTCTCAAACTATATAGCATCTAATGCTAAAATTAGAGATAACTCAATCATTTTAATAGAAAAACAAGTCATAAACAGCTATGTCACAAAGAAAGTTTTGAGTAAACATGGAATGAAAATAAAAATAATATGGTGCTCAAAGTCATATAAGTTAAGTCATATAAGTACTAATATTATTCCGTAATATTAGTAAAGTCTTGAGAATAAGGTAAGCTTTGATTTAAGCATTAATATGGGTGACTTAGTTTCCACATATCAGCACCCATCTTATGTATATATAACCTCTTGTATGTCATTATGTGTAGATAAAGTAAACCTCTGAATATAGATTACTATCAACTACATGGTATCAAAGCCAGTCTCTTCGAAGGTTAGGGTTCACTATTATAGAAAAGGCTACTGCCACAGAGACGCTGCCTCTAGGGGTGCTCCCTTGTGTCATCGCCACCCTGGGTGGAGTCGCACATTGCAGGTGAACAGGTCTGTAGAATCTATTGCCTATCGGATACCTCACTCACAACCACTTCCATGCGCATCTCTCACACGCACCATTGCTGCTAGTCAAATCTGCCATGGGAAACTATTCAGGGTCGCTTGAGTCATCTAAGATCTGTGTGGATTCAGTTTGGGTGGGTTATTTTGTTCCATCTTCTTCAAGCACCCTCTCATTGTTTTGTCCTGTCTTCTTCAAGCACCCTCTCATTGTTTTGTCCCGTCTTCCTGTGTTTGTTCAGGTTCTCTCCAGTATCTTTCTTGTTTTGTTCATTGAGATGGGTGATAACTGATAAGTCTAGTATGATCATTGAAGTTTACCCAATCTTGTAAAAAATCACAAAGAGGAAACATAATTCCTCTAAATATCTTGAATGGTCCACGACCATAGAATTATCTCCGAAGTACACAAGGATGATCATATGATTGATGACCTTCCTAAAGATGCAACCACTAAGAAAGTCTGGTTGAGGGATGATGCTTAACTATTTCTCCAATTCCGCAACTCAATTGTATAACATTTCATTTGTGGGTGTTAAAATGCATCCCACATCAGAAGTTCAAGAGTAAAATAATCAGTATATAAGCTTTTGAGTTGAACTAAGTAATCGATTGGATTCAATCTTTTAATGTGGTTCAACCCAAGTATCTTATTACCCTATCCAGTTGTCCATACCAATCCTAAATTCTATCATGGTATCGGAGCAGGTTTTGGCCCACCTCGTTTGTCAAGGTGTCCGTTTAGACGTCCATTCCTAGCGGCCTGTTAGTCTTTAGTCCAGTTGTTCGTATGGAGTATGTACCCAACGGCTTGTGGCCCGTTTAACACGATTGCTCATCTGAAAGTCCATATCCAGCGGCTCCTGGTCCTTTAGGTGCTGGTGCTCAAAACAAATCAAGAGAATGAGAGTTCATTTGCAAGTGATCAACCGGTTAGATTTAAAATGGCCCGGTTGTCCACTTGAAGGGGAGTGTTAAAGTGCATCCCACATCGGAAGTTCAAGAATAAAATAATCGATATATAAGCTCTTGAGTTGAACTAACTAATCTATTGGATTCAATTTTTAATGTGGTTCAACCCAACTATCTTATTACCCAATCCAATTGTCCATACCCATCCTAAATTCTATCAGTGGGTAAAAAACACCATGTTAGTTTGAGTCCTTGCTTTGTTTCGTCCAAATCCAGATTTCGATACTCTGTTACTTTTGTTGATGACCATTCACGTATGACTTGGCTATAGTTAATGAAATCCTGTTTGAGTTATTTCCTCATTTTCATTCTTTTTGTGCTGAAATTTGAGCCCAGTTTTATATGCATCTTAATATTATGCATGGGGTTAATGCTAGAGTATATGTTTTTGCTCCCTTGTAATCCTACATGTAAGATGATGGCATCCTCCACCGATCTTCATGTGTGGATATTCCGCCCAAATGGGGTAGTTGAACGTAAAAATGGGCATGTGCTCGAAACTACACATGCACTCTTGTTTCAATCAAAAGTGTCTAAGACATTTCAGGCAAATGTTGTTGCCATGGCATGTTTATTAATTAATTGCCTCCCTTTCTAGTGTCCTTGGTGGTCAGACACCATTTCATAGTCTCTTCCTTGATAAACCTCTTGTTCATGTCCCTCCAGAGATCTTTGGGTGTACATGTTTTGTAAGGGTGTTCCTTAATGAACCTCTTCTTCGTGTCAAACCAAATATCTTTGGGTGTACAGGTTTTGTAAGGATGCCCTTTGTTTTTCTTGCATGGCATTTGTTTTTCTTTTTGCCTGAGCAAGGGGTCTCTTGGAATTAGCCTTTGTACTTTCAAGAAGTAGGGGTAAGGTTTGCGTACACACACCCTCCCCATACCCTACTTTTGTGGGGTTCTATTGGGTTGTTGTTTTTGTCCATGTGTCACTAAGCTAGATATGAAATCCTTAAAGTGCATCTTTTTGGGATAGTCCAGGATCCAAAAGGGATATCGTTCTTATGGTCCTAGTCTTGGTCGATACTGTGTCTCCATCAATATGAGTTTTCTTGAGCATGCTCCCTTTTAAATGAGGGGAGGGTTATGATTACATTTTATTGTAAATTGCCTCTAGTACTACATTTGCACCCTTTGTTGAGCCTTCCATTATTCATGTTTACATTTGGAGAAAAAAAACCATATGCACCCTCACATTTCTCACTTCATGCCACAATGATTGGTCCACCACCTACACCCATGCGAGTCTCACGCCATGAGCTGAGCACTTCATTGTTAGATCATGATCATGCTAATGATCTATCCATCGCTTTGTGCAAAGGTAAGCAATACTGTGCCTACCCTATTTCTAACGATCTCTCAAATGATCATTTGCCTTTTCCCATTTATGCACTCACCTCAACTCTAGGTTCTATGCCTCTTCCTAAAAATGCTTGAGAAGCACTATCTCATCTTGGATGGCATACCGTCATACTTAGAGTATGCTTTCGTTGTCGGTCAGCAAGAATCCCATTGGTTACAAGTGGGTCTTCTCTATTAAGGTCATGGGTCTATGGCTCAACCCAAAGCTTGATTCGTGGGATTATGATGAGAGTATCTCCCAGGTGGTTTGCTCACTTATTTTTGCTTTGTCATCTCTATGGTTGCGTGCCATGATTGCCATTGCATCAGTTATATATCAAGAATGCTTTTCTTCATGGTGTTGTTGAAGAAAAGGCAACTTCCATGGTTTGTTGCTCAGGGGAAGAATGGGAAGGTATGTCGGCTACACAAATCTTTATACGCACTAACATAAAGTCTTCGTGTATGGAATGGAAAATCCAACATTTGGAATAGTGAAAAGACAATTTGATCATTCTAATTTTCGCAAATGGTATAATGGTGGAATCGTCTTATTGGTTTATGTAGATGACATCATTACTACAGGAAATGATCTTGCAGGTATTTCATTACTCAAGGCATTTGTCCATAGTCACTTCCAGGCAAAGGATCTTGGACTGCTGAATTTTTTCTAGGGGTTGAG